CAAATTATTGAGCTGCAGATCTGGGTTAAAATAGTTTAATTTTCAGGGGTTTATGTGGACAGTGACTGGCTGATATAAAACAACCATTAAAAAAGATTATTTGACTCTTCTGAACATTGATAAATCTATTTTGCTTTTTTTCCTAAAAGTCTCCAAGCCTCTTTCAGAACCAGAAATACCCTCATCTGTGGACGTCGCTCCATAAAACTACCAAAAGGCAAATTCAAGTAAATATTTGTGACTTCCCTTTTAAAACTTTCTTGCTTCTTACCTGCATCAACCCGGCTGCAGCTGAAGAACAGATTCGTGCCTGCTCCCCTGATGGAAACAGGAAGTTACCAACGTTACACAGAATGTCACAAGATTCTTGTAAGGGACGTTTTTTTTTTGTTTTGTTTTGTTTTTTGTAGAGTTCTCCTTTTCTCTAGAGTATGACATCTTGCAAACCAATATGTTCTAACAGCCAGATTCTTTGTAATTATATTTAATCTCAGCCTTCTAATCTGCGCTGACTAACACTGTTTCCTGTTTATCCTCACCATGAGAAAGAATGCACTCCCTCGTGAACTTTTGTCCATCTAGCACCAAAGTCCAGCGAGAGCCAAAGACCGTCCTGCAAGTCAGGAAACACAGCAGTGTTTGCTTTTTCCTTAAGGTGTGTTCTCGACATGTTGACAGTGTGTCTGTCGGCTGAGAGTATTAAACAAGGCGTAGGAAACCACAGATGGAAAACCATGAGCAGGGAAGTGAAAGGTTTAAAAGACTCACGTCTATGCTAAGGGCCACCAAGTAGTCGGGGTTGAAGAAGTGGTAAGTAATGGACTGATCCAGGTGAAAGGGCAGCTGGGTGGATTTGAAAGTTGCTCCGGCATCCATAGAGGTGAAGATGATCCCTCCCGGGTTGTCCACGATGGGTGTGTCTGCAGTCAGTATCACCTGCAATGGAAATGGGTCGAGAGCAGATATGAGTTGTATCAGTTATCATGTGTACAAGGCCTAGAAACACTATTCACAGAGCTTGAACGTTTCACAGTTTTCCCACATTATACACATTATGCTGCACTATTTTTGGGGGAATTTTGTTCAATGAACCAACAACACGTGCATAATTATGAAGTGTAAAGAAGCTGTTTGCTCCACAAATCTGGTTTCCACACAGGAATGGTTAGAAGAAAACCACTGATCAAAGATCATCAAAGTAATCATTGAACGAGGGACTCTGGTTAGTTGAGTCCAACATCTAACTTTATGGTTCTAATTAAATTATTTTACAGTTTCTCAAAAAATCAGCCACGCTGATTGGATGTGTGGAAACAGAAGACATCGACAGAGTTGATTTTGACAACAATGAAGGTGTCTTCACACTTTTTGCAGCACATCCTCAACCACATGCTCTGTTTCAGTTTGACTTCTTCTGGAATCTCACAGCGTTTCCCCAGAGTTCCCAGTGTCCCAATCCTTAGACTGGTGTCAACCCAAAGGATGGAGGAGATTATTAGTTCAACACAGAAATCCCCACGTTGCACAGCACTGTCTTAAAAGTTTGCAAACAAACTGATGGCTATACTGTTAACTCACTGAGCTCCCTGGTCCAACACTGATTCCAAGCTCCTCTTTAATGAAGGTGTGGTTGATGCGGTGGGAGATATCGTGAAAAGACTTGCCATAATCTGTGCTGTTGAGAAATAAGAAGGACATGCATTGTAACTCTGTGCTGAGCAGAAGGAATGTGCAGGTTAAATTTGGACTCACCTTCGGTAAAGTCGAGATGAGCCTCCCGCCAGGTAAGAATCGAGCGGAGCGCTGATTGTCGACAGCACCAGGATCACCTGGTACACGGAGAAACACTGCGTGAGTGGGGCGATTCTTAAGACTTACCCTAAACTCATGAGAGTGTTTCCTCAAACTCTTGCAATAAAAATGAGTTGTTTTGATTTCTTTATTCAAATAATCATGAAAAATTTGATTCAGGCAAAAAGCAGCACACAGATCCACTTCAAACAGTGGTAATGAAGCCATCACATTAAGTTCAAAACTTTGCTATTATGTGTGTGACATTTGAGTTCATGTTTCACAAGTAATGTTGAAAACATTTCAATAACAATTTATTAGATGATACTAAAAATATGAGTCCTTATATATGTATATATCTCTCTGTTTAGTTATGGATTATGTTTTAGTATGTGTTCAAAAATGTTTCTAATTGTTTACTGTGTTTTCTTGGAGCATGATTACATTTCTTCAGTCTCCTTTGTGTGTTTTATGTGTGCATATCTGTTTTAACAAGAGCAAACCACAGAAATCTAGTTGAATTATTTCAATATTTGCTTCATTCATCTGCAAACTTTGTGCAGACCGGATATTTATGCTTTAAAATGGAAAGCTGCATAAGAGCCTGAAGAAGACCAAATGGGACACTCACTCCTGTACCATCGCCCACCCATGTGAGGATCACATGGGAGCCGTCATCACCATTAAACCCTGTCTAGGACAAAAAGAGGACAAAAATGTTCAAAGGTCATTTACATCAGTAATGATGCAAACTTCTTCCATTCTCCTCCACTTCTTTTGGTTCTTAAGTCTACATCACCTGATGAATGAATTTAATAATAATAAATAAATAAATCAACATATATTTAAAATCATTAATCAGCCTCTCTTTTGTGCTGCATGTGTAGGCTTAAATAAATCTTAAGTACTTATTAACAGGCAACTCTCTTCACGCTCTCACCTCCTGTGTGTTATCGTCCAGAATCTTGTGTTCGGTCGGGGTGAGGGGAAGCTGGCAGGAGGCGAAGGCAGGACCGCGAGAAGGGTTTGAAGAGTCTGTGGAGCTGCTGGTGTCCCTCCGGAGGCGTGGGGCCCGTTTGTCCCGCCGGAAAGTGACCGTCCTTCCCCAGGGACGGCTGCTGCTGCTGCTCCCCTCGGCTAAGAGAAGGAGGGCAATGTGGAGGACGCACAGCCCACCGAGGATCACAGTGGTCCAGATCATATCAGCAGAGAGAGTGGGCCCTCAGAGGAAGGAAGAGTTACAGTGACCTGTGTCCCTGCAGTTACTGGCTCAGCTGAAGGTGTTGCGCTATGAAATCAAGCCCGGGGGGTGGGGAGTGCCTGAACAGGTCATTAACATAAAAAAATGCTGTGTTAAGAGAGCAGGTGCTCCCACCCGCATCCATGTGACCTACAGGAAGGATTTCAATTTCAACAGAAGATGTGAACACATCCACCGTTCATTTGTACTTCTTTGTTTTTTATGTTTTATAACTTTTTGTTGATGTAAAAGGCATTTATTTATCCTGGTTCTGCTTTTCTGAGGGACATTACTTCTATTTTTGTTCACAGTTTTTTCTCTATGTTTTTCATTTACCTTCTCATTATTGCATTACTTTTATTCCAGTTTGTTTAAACACCATCAAAAGTCAATATTTTCCATGAGGTAAAGAGACAACATACCACATGGGGATTTAAGTTAATTTTGATTATTATGGGTTACATTAAACACTTTCCCCGACATTGTGGTTTTTCACAGCTTTGTTGATACGAGTCCGTATACAAGCACTGCAAGAAGGATTTTTTTATTGATCTTCTACAATGTGAGAATTTTCAGATAAACTGAATTTTGGGGTTTCATGATCAAAATTAGTTGAGATAAACAACTGAATACTACTCTGTGTGAAATGAATCTATAGCCTGTATGGTCTCGCTTTTAAAGAAAAGCACTTTTTGAATGTTTAAAATGATTTTTTTGGCCCCTGCTTCTGCTGTAGTAACAAAATCAACAGATGGAGTCGACTATTTTTTCACATATTGTCGATCTTTCTATAATCGCCCTGGGTGAGCTTAATGTGCAGGAAGATTCTGAGAATTGACACACAAGTTTTCAGCCTCGATTTTGCTTACGCAAACATTGAAAGGAAGGACATGTACTGACAAGGAGTAAATATTTAAGTAACTTCTTTCAAAGGAAGAAGTAATCTATGAGGATACATCTAGCAGTGGTCCTGCCAACAAAGTGCAGCTGTCTTGCTGCTGGCAATCTCCAGGTTAAATCTCTAGCCAAGAGAAGCAAGTAAACGACATTTCTGGTAAATGAGTGTTGTTCGGATGTGCATGTCATCATTGAGTTTTGGGAGCGGCAACAGATGCAACCTCACACAGTAGGTTGTTAATGGCTCGTAAAACGGAGGGATGGTGGACACAAAACCACAACGTAAATGAAGAAATGTGCAAGATGATAAAGTCCCAGTTCTGACTGTCAGATCTGAAAACTGCACCTAAAAACAATTGGATCAGTCAGTATTTTCCAATCTGTCATCTGTTCCTTCCTCTTTTCGAGTCGTCTTGAGCATCTGTCCTCCTCTTTTTCTCTCTATCAAAAAAGGATTCAAATAAATGTCAACAAGTTAATATTAAAAGTGTTTCTCAGAACTAGAAGACCAAACTGTAGTTTTTGAGAACTCGATGAGGCATGGGTAGCAAAATGTGAAATACAGAGGCTTTGAGTCAACGCCGATGAGTGGTCTTGTGTCACATGACAATTTCAGCGCTGCCAAGATAGCTTTCACCTTTAAAAGATAATTAAAAAAAGATTTCCCCACCCACTACTTCTTAAAACCAGTTGGTGTAGGTTTCAAGCATTCATTGACACACAAAAGCACGTTCTATAGGTTCAACACTGTTGCGTCAATAATCTGATGATTCACTATCCAAGATTTCTATCTGCTCTTATTGGTTTTCCATTTTTTGTTTCCTGAACCTATAAAAAATCAGCAGAACTACAGTAAGTACACAGAACAACAGTCCAGAGTAGAAACCAGTTCAACAACTATTTTCACAAAAGGTATCAAAGAGATAAATTTCTCTCCCCATAAATTAAGCTGCTATTGCGCAGTTCTTTTTTCTTCAGACTTTGTCTGGACCTGTCTAAGCTGTTTGTCACAGTCCTGGACTGGTTTACTGCTCCTATAAACCATGTAAGAGAGGTTATGATAAATTTACACTTGTTAAATGATTCAAAAGAAGGTATTTTATTTCAGAAATGGCTACAAAAACATTCTGGTTTTAGTGCAAATTGTTCAGTAGTGCTCCTACATCTGTTGCAGCTTTCTAGTTGCTCTGAAAAATAGCTGCACGACATTTTTTGGTTTTTTTAACAGTAGACAAAGAAACAGACAAAACATCCCCAGGGAAGAAAAATATGTACAGTCCAAGTCTCTTTGAAGCGAAGCAAAGATCCAACATCACAAAGTTCCTCGTCAGCCAATGTTTCTAGTCACAGATGCTCTTTGCATGTGGGCCCCGGGGGGCATCTGCCTCTGTGTCTGCTGGTCCAGTCCGTGGATGTAGTGGTGGTTCTGAGCGTACATGAGTCCCCCGAAGGAGTCAGCAATCCCATAAATAAATGCCAATAAGGAAAGTGCAGTTCCAATGGCGTAGAGCTTGAGTATCGCAGCAGCCACCATGATGGCCATGCTTGGTCACCTTCAACAACAAAAACAAAACTTCACGTTATACGTTTTCACCAGCAACATCTAAAACTTGAGATGTGAAGGTTGAGCATAAATACAATCCAGTGTGACAGGTAGACTTCATAAGTCACCGTTGAGCACCTGAACTGACTCCATAAGAAAAGAGTAAATCAGAGAATCAGTCACCAGCTCCAGAGAGGCTGTGAGGAAATACATCTCACTTACCAAAAATCTGACTTTTGTAGCTGAAAGAACACATGGAGCATCTCACAAAGTTGCATAATTAGGTGCTCAAGTAAGATAAGCACAAAACTGAACTTTTTAATACACAACAACAAAACCATTGATCACTGATGACATGGTGCTGTAGGAAAGCTGTGAGAGTTTGACAATAAATGTGTACAGATGCTCTCCGAATCCAGTCTGGATGGGTCAGGATGGTTCTCAACGTAATCACAAGGAGCCAACACCAAACGCGACAGCAACACGCAGAGCGAGGTTTGTGAAATAAAACGGAAGAGCTGACAAACTGTTTACCAGACAGCGAGAGGAGCCTGCAGTGAGGATCGCTGAAATTCACTCACCAGCGATCAGCAGATGTTTCTATGTTCGCTTTCTCCTCGGCTGTTGCGCGGGGAGCCGAACCGAACCGAACCGAACAGTTGAAAAAGTCCGTGTGAAAGTCTGAGCACAGAAGTGGGCTGAGCTGCTGCTGCTGCTGCTGCAGCCTATCGTGTAACAGTAACTTCCTGACGGGTTTTTCCACTGGAGTTTTTTTTTTCTTTCTCTCTAAAACATCTCATTAAAAGTCGCATTCAAATCATCGGTCGTTTATTTCTGAGTCATTCAGCAGTCATGACATGATTTAATGATTCTGTGCAGTTATCATTAACCAAATGAAAGAAGACATGTATTATTTTTGCCCTCCCTAGAGAAGCATGCCACTGCATAAAAATGTAGGTGACCCACATTCTTGACTTTCCCCTCAACTTTTCACTGTGACCAGAGCTGGAGCAAAAAGCCAAGATGCCCCAAGAAGATTTGTTTTTTAAGGGGAGCAACCTCCAAAACAGGGCTTCCACATCAGAGCTTGATTGAGAGAAGGTATGTCTGTTATTTAGCCTAAAAATAAATGACAAATATATTGATTTGACTGCTGACTTCTTGTGCTAGGTCCCCACAATCTGAACACTTCATGAAAACATGTAAGACTGATGTTCACAGTTTTTAACAAGCAAGAAAAAACCCCAACTAGGTTGTAAATATCAACCATTATTAGGAGGGTTTGAAAATACTCCTAATTCTGAAAGGTAGACAGCAGATCCAAGTTAATGTGGACGGTAGAGTATTATTTGAAATATATTTCTTGTCGTAAAAGTTTTTGAAAAGTGAGCGTTTGGGTCAGGTAATTATCTTTCGTTTTATCTTTTACTCCGTCTAACCGAATAAAACTTGACTTCTAAAGTCTGCTTAGGTTAAATTTGAGGGGAAAAAAATCATCTAAGCTACAACAGGCCTGGCTGACCTAAAAGAGACCTACATGGAAAGTGTTGAAAGGCTCACTTGTCTGTGCATGTCACTTTCCAGATGTTTCACAGTTTGATTGGGAACATGCACTGGCATTTTATGAGCTAGGAGTGCCGTTTGGCTTCATCCAAATTTGATTTTTAATGCACCATTTATTGTTATTATTATACTTTATTTCATTTTGCCTTTTTGGTCACCCTTAAATGATTCAGAATATTGTTCAAAGTTAACTATGAAGCAAATATAAACTGGTTAAAGAAAAGTTTATTTTTTAGGGTATTTTTTTAATTATTAAGGAAAGAGCGGCACAAACCAGTATCTTCCTTTGTGGACAGGTAGCTGCCTCTCAAATCAAATAACTTTAAAACAATTGAATTTCAAAAGTCAAACCCGAGTCAGTCTCTCACCAGCTGTTGCTACTGTTATTAGGCCCGAGGGCTCGATTAAATTTTACACATGAGGGCTTTGGAAAGTTCTTTTGCATGTAATCCTGGCTCACACAAAAACAGAGAAAAAGGCCATAAAATGAGAATGTCACTCATTGCAGTGGGAAGATAAACAACGTTGAATCAAGAAAAAGGAACTTGCTTTAACACTTAGCAAAAGTGTTAAAACTTCAGATTTTTGGAATTAACCACAGGCATTGTTCTTTTGTAAAAAAACAAAACAAAAAAACAATGCTCTAAGAAAAGCATCATATGACGCACATAAAAATGTGTTTAGTATTAAGTTACTTTTAGTTTAGGTTGCTTCCATTATTAAGCTTATTGCAAGTTTGGCAGCACAACAATATGTATACCAACTGGATTTCGTGTCTTTCATTCTGGAGACGTATGTTTGAACATCGTTTTTCGGTTGAGTTCAATTAATTTCCAGTCACAAGGCACTTTACAAAAACAGTTCCAAGTCACTGTCAGGTATGCAGAAAAGCACAAAAAAAATTCTTATTCATATAAAATCATACAGAAAGCTTAGATTTCAAAGCATATATGAAGCAAGATATTGTCATTTTAAATGAAAAAACCCAATAGGTCAAAAGTCATGCACCTGGAAGAAAGCACAATTGAGTCACCGTCTTTGCAGCAATACCTCTTGCTCACAGGTTTAATCCTGAAGTACATTGCTGACTCTACTGCAGTCCTTCATACTGAAAGACTTTCATAGCAGAAGGGAGTTCTTCCCTTTCAACAAGAAGAAATCTCCAGTCCAACAAGAGTCAGTGTGACCCGGCGTCTTTCACAATCAGCAGGAAGTTTGAGAGAAGCAAAAGCAAGCACAGAAAAAAAAAACGAACTAAAGACAGGTCAATGAGCTGTTTGTGTCAGAAAGAAAATCTGTTTATGTAGAGTTGATAGCAGTAGTAAGTCTGTCTCTTATCAATAGTAAAATGGGAGAAATACAAATGAACAATATCTATCAATCATCATGTCCTGACTGAATATCTGCGTGAATCAAAATGGAAATAGTCTGGAGGGGGACAACCTCTAGAGTTTTTCCTTTTCGTTTAAAGCAGTGAGAAACTTTTCATTGTTGGAGCATCTATGGCCTGTTTGAGTGACTAACATTGAAAATATGAGAACACAAAGCAAGGTTTCACTTCCTTGTGTGAGGAAATAAAAGAAGAAGACTCATTAGCAAGAAAGTTGAAGTTCACTCTGACTTATGCCAAAAGAATGAAAGTGTATTAGACAGACACACACTCATTCACACTGTCCAGAAAAGATTAGCTCAGACTTGCAGAGTAAAAATTCCCTTTCACAGTCCGTTCACCCTTTCAGAACCCTGAGCATGATGAAATTAAGCAGACATGATGTTGTTTTACTCCTCAGCTAGCAGGCACTGTTCCAAACCTCCTGAAGCTCCTCTAATGATAAATGGTAATAATTTCTACTTGGAAGAATTTGCTCTCTGTAGAGAAAAGTTTAATGATCAGCATCAACGGCGTCAGAGTAACTGTACCGTTTTAGATTTTAGGAAGGATCAAGTCTCATGATTTCCTGTGCCTGAAAACCCAGAGTTGCGCAACAGCCTTCGAGTCTGCAGTCTGAAAACCACTAAATGAAAATGCGATCCAACTGAATCAGGCTAAATCAACACCAAATAAAACAGCAGTGTTGAGTAAATGATTGTATTAAACATACACGTCTTTGTTGTACATTTCCCAGCCAGCACACCTAGGTGGGCCCCATATGGGATATAAGTGGGCAGGCAATATGGGTCCCAAAAGGGTTTGTCCACGGTTTCCATGGTGGCCCCACATGGGTTTGCCCAAGTAGATTTTTATGGGTGCTAACTGGGCTTTCAGTGGGTCCCACATGGTTAACTCACATGAGGCCCATCTGTGGCCCACTAGGGTGCTGTCAAGAATATTTACGTGGGTCCCAATTGGGTCTGAACTGGGCTAGAATATGGGTAACAAGTGGGTTTGTCCACGGTTTTCATGGTGGCCCCACATGGGTTTGCCCAAGTAAATTTTTATGGGTGCTGACTGGGTTTTCAGTGGGGCCCATGTGGTTAACTTACATGAGGCTCATCTGTGGCCCACTAGGGTGCTGTCAGGAATATTTACCTGGGTCCCAATTGGGTCTGAACTGGGCTAGAATATGGGTAACAAGTGGGTTTGTCCACGGTTTCCATGGTGGCCCCACATGGGTTTGCCCAGGTTGATTTCAATGGGTGCTAACTGGGTTTTCAGTGGGTCCCACATGGTTAACTTACATGAGGCTCATCTGTGGCCCACTAGGGTGCTGTCAGGAATATTTACCTGGGTCCCAATTGGGTCTGAACTGGGCTAGAATATGGGTAACAAGTGGGTTTGTCCACGGTTTCCATGGTGGCCCCACATGGGTTTGCCCAGGTTGATTTCAATGGGTGCTGACTGGGTTTTCAGTGGGGCCCATGTGGTTAACTTACATGAGGCTCATCTGTGGCCCACTAGGGTGCTGTCAGGAATATTTACCTGGGTCCCAATTGGGTCTGAACTGGGCTAGAATATGGGTAACAAGTGGGTTTGTCCACGGTTTCCATGGTGGCCCCACATGGGTTGCCCAGGTTGATTTCAATGGGTGCTAACTGGGTTTTCAGTGGGTCCCACATGGTTAACTTACATGAGGCTCATCTGTGGCCCACTAGGTGCTGTCAGGAATATTTACCTGGGTCCCAATTGGGTCTGAACTGGGCTAGAATATGGGTAACAAGTGGGTTTGTCCACGGTTTCCATGGTGGCCCCACATGGGTTTGCCCAGGTTGATTTCAATGGGTGCTAACTGGGTTTTCAGTGGGTCCCACATGGTTAACTTACATGAGGCTCATCTGTGGCCCACTAGGGTGCTGTCAGGAATATTTACCTGGGTCCCAATTGGGTCTGAACTGGGCTAGAATATGGGTAACAAGTGGGTTTGTCCACGGTTTCCATGGTGGCCCCACATGGGTTTGCCCAGGTTGATTTCAATGGGTGCTGACTGGGCTTTCAGCGGGACCCAGATGCCTTAATCCTGTAGGAACAATTCTCATCTAACCTGGATGTGAATTACATTCATAGATATGCAATCTTGATCAACAATCCAAAGTCTAGCTTAAAACGTGTTCAAATAAAAAATAAAAAAAAAGAGATGAAAAATTTATTTTGCTCAAGGCTTTTATTTAGTAATTTAAAATATTGTCAGGAGTTATTTTTTACCTCACTACAGCAATTATTAGAACTTCATTAATACTCAGGAATGGTGCCACAAAAAGAAATCTGCAATTATTCACGACATCTTTGAAAATAACAGAAGCTAGTTTACTATAACAAACTTATAAACAGATCTATAAATATATATCTATAGATGCACACAATAAAGACACCTACATATTTCCTACAGGTCTATAAATGTATACATCTAAATACTATCTATATAACTTTATACACGTATATTCACATTGATACACACAATGTGAATATACACACCTATGTAGATCTTTCACAATACATTCTTGTTAAACATTTTTAAAAATAACCTACATGCCATATGCATGCTTAAATTTGAAATCTCTCATACTTTACTGAAACTGTCCATCTTGAAAGACCTCCCCAACCTGAGTTTGAACTGGCAGTCTCTCTAGTCTATTTCCACTTCCACTCGGGCTCCAGTAAACCACTTCGAGAGTCTTTGCTGTATGCTTGTGTGATTCTGTAGATGGATAATTTCTTTTAAGTCCCCTGAAATAACAAGCAAAGGTAGAAATTGTATTAGTGTTTCATTTTAGCACAATGTAACATTCATGAGATTTGCATCTCCCCCTTCATGGGGCAAAAATGCTTGCAGAGATATGCCATAATCAAAAGGACTCTTGAGTCATCATTATTATGTACAGAAAACTATATTCTTACTGTAAATTTAAAATATATCCATCTATATAAATCAACTACTAGGTTCTATCGTGGTTTTGTGGTTTTTTAATATTGTTTGAAATGCAAACAATATTACCTTCAAATTTTTAAGTTCTTAACAACAGTGAAAGAATACTGTTCAAATAAAACCAAAAATTGAAGACTCAATTTTTAACCTAAAAACATTACTAAAATAAAACAAAAGAATAAAACAACCAAAATAAATTAACATATGTTTAAGAAAGAAAAGTGAAAAAAAAAAGTTACTCTGACAATAAAACTGATATTTACCATACAAAACATCAAAGAGACGCAGGTCCAAGAGCTTGTTTCCAATGTTGGCCAAAAAGGTTGAACTGGACTTCCAGTTCATGGGACATGAGGAATCGCACAGCTGGTTGTATTGTGTCATCTAAGGATGCTCCTCCAATTTCTGTAGCCATGGCAACCTTAAGTACAATGACAATAACAGGACAACATTTTGTTTTTGTTCATCAGTTTGTCATTATATCACTCTTATGTGCTTAATTTCACTAACATATTAATCTACCTTTTTCAAATCATTATAAAGTGATCTTCACACGCTGATCCTCTTGAAGCCTGCAAAAATATATATTTTATTAGTGCAATATAACATTTAGACTTTTCAAAAAATTTAAAAAATTAAGGCAAAACAGCCTTTGTATGGATTAACTACTGAAGCCTTATATTGTAAACACTGAACAGTTTTGCAATTATCCTAATTTCTTTGTTAACGTGACAGGACTAAGACAGTAGTATTACTCTTAAGAGAAGTTTTAGAAAATCACTATAAATGTAACTAATAAAGCCTAAAACATTGTACATATAAAAAAATTAGAGCTACAATTAAATATAAGTACATTTCACATAACTGCTAGCTAAATATTGCAAAAATATCAAAAAGAATTTCTTCATCTTTCAATATTTGTTTCAGGCTTGGCCACTGATTGACATGATGGGTTTCAATTTACGGACCCACATGCAGTAACCACACGTTGGATAGGGATGAGTGAGTGATTTATTTACAACAGGACAAAATAAAATCTATTTCCCGGACATCAGCGGAAGGGTGAGGACCACTCGACCAGGTTGGCCTGAAACGAGAACTTAGTTATGACGGGCTTAGAATGAGTGATCGGAGGGGAAACAGGAACAGGCTTACTTCGGTGCGGGTCTTTCGAGGCGTGGGTGTGAGATGCCAGGTTCCTGAGAGAGGGTGTGCAGCGGTTCCGAAGGTAAATGCGAGGTGGGAATGGAAGAGAGCTGGAAGCTCGAAGGGTGGAGTGGAGGCAGTGGAATCGGCGAGCGAGCAGGCAGGTATTCACTGGTGAGTTCTCGAATGAGGCGACAAAACCCCTAGGATCGAACAAACACAGAGACCAGGTGACTTCTAGTAGACACAGAAACGTTCTCAGAAAACTGTTCACAACAGGAGAGGCCAGAGTGACTACCGGTGTATGCAACCATCTAGCATACACCAGTAGAATCTTCAGTCAATCTAGCGTAGACTGAAGATTCTGCTGCTCCTCCACCTGTGCCAAGCTCCACGGGCTCCTCACAAAGATCCTCGCTGAAATAAGATGCGACACTCACATACACACACAGGAACCCTGACACTGATGACTACTCTAGACCAACACAATAGCGGCAGATTGAAATAAACTCTGACATAACAAAACGCTTTAAAGTGTCACACAACAATTAAAAAAAGAATTTAAAAATATGAACTACAATGCCTTCATCCTATTTACAAAAAACCTTTTAGGCCAATATACTGAAACCACATGGGCCCCATATAGTGTTCCCATTTCTGTCCCATGCCCAGTTAGCCCACGTTAATGCTGAATTGGGCCCATACATTTAACCCAATTGAGCCAACAATATGAGTCCCATTTCGGTTAACCTTTTGAGCCTCACGCAGTTGGCCCAGATAAAACCCATGCCCTCTTATCATTACCTATATAGCCCAAAGCTAAACGATTCAATGCAGTTTTATTGAAAAAAACGACAATAATAATCTTGCATGGGTCCCAGCCAACCAGCCTGAATCCATACATGAGACCCACCCATGCATGCTGATGTGACTGTGAGAAAGATTATTAAAAGCCCAAGTACATAGAATGAAAGCACAATAGTTACTCTTTTTAAATCATACAAATGGTTTTATTGTGTCCAGACACTTTGTAACAACCTCTGCTAGCAACATAGATTCTTCAGTGAACCGATTTCATTCTGCCTCGTTGGCGCTCAAATGAACCAATGGCAGCTCAACAAATAGAATGGCGGCGGTATTTGAAAATGGTTTGGCCCACAACGCTGCGTTTGAAATCGGTCTGCACTAAAATCTGCTTATTGTGTGTAGCTGTGTGTGTTAGCAATATCAGAAAAAGTATCACCCTAAAGAAAAGCAAAAATAACAATAACAATTAAGTCTCTTTTGGGATACTGTCGTCCGATTTGTTACGAGCAACAATTTTTTTAACAAGCGATTTAAAATCTCTCCCTAAAATTTGGTACTAGGTAAAACAGAAGAAATGTACTTACAGATTCTTTCGTAGATCAGCCGGCAGACTCCGCGCCAACGGACTGATGAAGAGAACAGGCTTGATTTTGAAACCGCATATCCATCCGCGGGTCATTTTACGTTTTCCAAGAAACACAAGATTAATTTTTGAGAGTGCTACATCGGTTAACAAATGTAAACCGATGTAGCAAAAGTTCTCAATGTAAATAAATACATTTCGTTGTCCTCCTTATTCAAATATGTTTTGGAACTATTTTCTTCAGTGGATGTGTAAAGTGCCTACCGGTACTTCAATTCACCAACCTTTATTGGCAACGGTGCCTCAGAGCAAACAATGAACAAAAAGGTAATTGGAACCAAATAAATTATTAACAGAAATGTTACGTTTTTTTATTTTTTATTTTTATTTATACTGATGACTTGGAAAATGTTGTATATGAAAAAAACAGATGCTCAAAATTTTACTCTTGTCTCTCACTTGCTATATGAGTTTTGTTTATTTTCTAAACATTTTGTATATTTTTCACAATGGTCTGATCTGAACTATTTGTCCAAATAAAAATTTAAATCTTGCTGCGAACAGGCTGCAGTAAACTCTATGGATGTCTAAACATCCAATTGATAAAAAATAATAATAAAAATAAAATAAAAAGTTATTATTATTAAAAATAAAACAAGGACTAAAGCTCAACCATGACCACTCTGTGCTTAATTTTGAGTAAGCACCAGAATATGAGTTTACGTATATATTTCAAACAGATTATTTCAAAAAAATGTTTTAAGACATTCAGACTGCAATAATAAAATGAAAAAAAAGTTAGGGGTTCAAAGTGTAGCAAGAGCAATACTGAACTGGCTTTTGCTTTGACATACAGTGAAAAGTTTGAAAGTGACAGGGTAACCACATTGTCGATTAAAATGTTCTACAATTTTGTCCCATTTAGACCATGAAAAAAAGTACTAGGGGCTACATTTTCCTGCCCAGGTCCAACCCATGTATGGTTAGCCCATGCTCATGTCATGTTAGTTTAATGTGGACAGCCACATTGGGCTTCTCATGTGGGGCCCATGATACTGAAACCACATGGGCCCCAAATAGTGTTGCCCATTTCTGTCCCATTTCCAGTTAGCCCACATTGTTGCTGAATAGGGCCCATACATTTAGCCCAAATGGGCCAGCCCATAGGGGTCCCATTTTAGTTAACCATATGTGTCCCATGAGGTTTGCCCAGATAAAACCCATGACCACTCATTACCCATATGGCCTACTACAAACCCAAGGGGGGCCCACTCATGCGTACTGGCTTGGAGACTGGACTGGACTGTTCTAGCATAAAATAATAACATGAAAAAATGTTAAGGGTTCAAAGTGTGGCTAGAGCAATACTGAACTGGTTTAAAAAAATAAAGCATTGTAGAATTATTTTAAATGTTTTAATATCCTGGTCCTCTGGAAGCCTAGTGTTTGTAAATGAGCCAGGCATAGATATCACACAGTGAACATGTTTTAGGTTCAAACATTAGGAAGACATGGATGTTCTGTTCTATCAGCAAAATATATCCTTGGGTGATCTCCAAGACGAGGTCACCTTCGTCCTGGAGACCTCGACAATGGTCAAGGTCACCAACCTTTACTATCGTCGAGGTTTCCTACAAGGAAAAAATTAAATTCTACAATTTACCTTACATCAACTCCATTAGAGGCCAGCTGAGTAACAATTGCCTTGGCAAAGACTATAAAGCTGACATCTCGGGTAATTCTTTCCAAGTTTTGAGAATCTTGCTCTTGCAGCTTTTGCTTTGACATACAGTCAAAATTTTGAAAGTGACAGATTAACTACAGGGGTTGGACAATGAAACTGAAACACCTGGTTTTAGACCACAATAACTTATTAGCGTGGTGTAGGGCCTCCTTTTGAGGCCAATACAGCATCAATTCGTCTTGGACAAGTATGGGGCCAAGGGAATGCCATGATATGGCAGCCCACACCATCAATGATCCACCCCCATGCTTCACTCTGGCATACAACACTCTGGCTGGAATGCATCTTTGGGGCTTCTCCACACCGTAACTCTCCCGGATGTGGGGAAAACAGTAAAGGTAGACTCATCAGAGAACAATACATGTTTCACATTGTCCACAGCACAAGATTTTCGCTCCTTGCACCATTGAAACCGACGTTTGGCATTGATACGAGTGACCAAAAGTTTGGCTATAGCAGCCCGGCTGTGTATATTGACCATGTGGAGCTCCCGACGGACAGTTTTGGTGGAAACAGGAGAGTTGAGGTGCACATTTAATTCTACCGTGATTTGGGCACCGTGGTTTTATGTTTTTGGGATACAATCCGGGTTAGCACCCAAACATCTCTTTGAGACAGCTTCGTCTTGCATCCACAGTTAATCCTGTTAGATGTGGTTCGTCATTCTTGGTGGTATGCTGACATTACCCTGGATACTGTGGCTCTTGATAATCACAAAGACTTGCTGTCTTGGTGAACAATTTTCCTCTTTTGCACTCCAGTATGTCCCAAATAATGTTATGTGCATTGCAATATTTTGAGCAAAACTGTGCTCTTACCCTGCTAATTGGACCTTCACACTCTGCTCTTACTGTTGCAATGTGCAATTCATGAAGATTGGCCACCAGGCTAGTCCAATTCAGGCATGAAACCTCCCACACTAAAATGAGAGGTGTTTCAGTTTCATTGTCCAACCCCTGTACATTGTTCTACAATTTTGTCTCATTTAGCCCACTTAAAAAAGGACTGGGGTCTAAATATCCACACCAAGGTCCAACCCATATATGGTCAGCCCATGCTGATGTCATGTGGGTTCAATGTGGTCTGCCCACATGGGCTTCCCATGTTGGGCCCATGATACTGAAACCACATGGGCCCCATATACTGTTGCCCAGTACTATCCCATTCCCAGATAGCCCACTTAAAAAAGGACTGGGGCCTACATATCCACACCCAGGTCTAACCCATATATGGTCAGCCCATGCTGATGTCATGTGGGTTCAATGTGGTCTGCCCACATGGGCTTCCCATGTTGGGCCCATGATACTAGAACCACATGGGCCCCACATACTGTTGCCCAGTACTATCCCATTCCCAGATAGCCCACTTAAAAAAGGACTGGGGCCTACATATCCACACCCAGGTCTAACCCATATATGGTCAGCCCATGCTGATGTCATGTGGGTTCAATGTGGTCAGCCCACATGGGCTTTCCATGTTGGGCCATGATACTAGAACCACATGGGCCCCACATACTGTTGCCCAGTACTATCCCATTCCCAGATAGCCCACTTAAAAAAGGACTGGGGCCTACATATCCACACCCAGGTCTAACCCATATATGGTCAGCCATGCTGATGTCATGTGGGTTCAATGTGGTCAGCCCACATGGGCTTTCCATGTTGGGCCCATGATACTAGAACCACATGGGCCCCACATACTGTTGCCCAGTACTATCCCATTCCCATATAGCCCACTTAAAAAAGGACTGGGGCCTACATATCCACACCAGGTCTAACCCATATATGGTCAGCCCATGCTGATGTCATGTGGGTTCAATGTGGTCAGCCCACATGGGCTTCCATGTTGGGCCCATGATACTAGAACCACATGGGCCCCACATACTGTTGCCCAGTACTATCCCATTCCCAGATAGCCCACTTAAAAAGGACTGGGGCCCACATATCCACACCCAGGTCTAACCCATATATGGTCAGCCCATGCTGATGTCATGTGGGTTCAATGTGGTCAGCC